TAGAACTTTCTTTGTGCCATTTTATAACTGGGACTGCATCAGCTTTGGTACATATACATATATGCATGTATGTATGTTTATATATATATAAAACTTACCTTACACAAAAACAATTTAGTTTCTTAAAAGCAGCGCACTTAAAACAAAATAAACACAATTGGCTCAAACATTCATACAAATATTAATAAAACAAGACTCTCACAAAAAAAAAGATGAAAAAAAAAACACCCACAAGATCACTTTGCAACGCGTGGCCAACGTCGAGACGCGTCATTTAGAACTAAAGTGAGTAAATTGCGGCATTTTTAAGCTGCTCTCGCGACGACATAAATCGAATAGGCAAAAGGACACTTGGCGATTACAGTTATGCGAGCGCCAGCATCTTAGTTTTGCATTGCACACTGGTGTAAATTTGCACGCGATTGGTTTTAATAGTAACATGGAATAAATACATACAAAGTGTATACATACATATATAACATCATTTTGTGCACATTTAACAATATGACATACATACATATATAGCGTGTAGCTGTATTACATCGAGCTATTTAGTAATAATATATTCTCAATCTTAACAGATAACTAAAATAAAATACGGCTGGATCCACTGTGCGTTGAATTTTGTTAAGCGACAAAGCAAAGCAACATTGGAGAGAACTGAGTCGGTGGCGCAAAGCAAAATGCAATTTTTCGGCAAAAAATGATGAGAGTGGAGAGTGTTGTTTGGGGAGAGAGAGGGAAGCATATAAAAGCATAGGCAGATTACAATAATGGCTGCTTCTCGCATGCATACATACATGCATGTACACATGTACACATGTACACATGTACACATGTACGCATGTACACATGTACGCATGTACACATGTACACATGTGCACATGTACACATGTACATTATACATATTCTAGCCATTTATTGGCTGCAGGGTATAACTGTTACTGTAATATATGATATTCTTTTTAATAAACAAAAATAAGGAGCGTAATCGATGTTTGGGGCAACTCCTAGCCTTACTTTCATAACATTTTTCTTGTTAATTACTTGATATTATCAGATACACTTTGTTATGTAAAATTAAAACTCAAACACCTACACGTGTTTGCCTTTTGGCTCTTCAACATTTAACGACAATGGTCGCCACGTTCTGCATTTCTGGAAGGGCTTATCTTAACATTTCCCTCTACCCTTAATTGAATTTCGTGAAACATCTCGGGCTTTTGGCATTGATTCTGGAGGGTTGCAACCAAGTTGCTTGGGGCACATAAATTACATCACGTGTTGCAGATTACATATTTATATCGTGTACTTAGAAGGCCATATATATTCCTGATCTGAAACGAAGCCATTTAATATAGCCACGTTTATACTGACTTTCGTTTATCTACGCGAGCTCAATAATTCGATAGACTAAGCAAAGAAGATTAAGAAATTACATTAGTTCTTTGCCGCAATTACAATAGTCAGCTTAATCAATTAAAAAAGTAGATGTATATTATTTCTAGGGGATTGGTAGGGCTTAATGGGAGTGGCGCTTGTATTTTAATATTTTTTAGCAAAAGTAATTAAAATTTGCAATTAGAATACTTTTTAACTATAGTTATTAAAGTACTAATTGTAATTGACTTTATTTTTAAGATGTGCTAAAGTTAGACATATTAGGGCACATTGGAAAAGAAGAAGTTCTCAAAACGGGCGGTAGACGAAATATGTTTGAGGTCCTTTCATATATATGTTTTTGACAGAAGGACATGGCTTAATAGACCAGATTGCTTCAATTGAGATAGAAGATATTGGATTAAAAGAGAGGGTTAAAAACATTTGTAAGAAATATATAAAACCGTCATGTTATTAAAGCTATTTCCCTTGATTCAATTTAGGTTGAAGATATTGGCTAAGCAGACAGGTAGGATTACAATGGATATAGGGCTTTTTCCATTGTTTCAATTGAGATAAAGGATATTGTTTTAGAAGATAGATTTGGTTACATATACGTATATTGGTATAGCATAAACAAAATCACATACTTAGAGCAATTTCCATTGTTTCAGCTTAGATTTTTTTGAATTTTTTCACAACTTCTTCCCAACTTTGAGGTGGATTTTTGAACATCCGCAAGATAATCATTCGCTGTACTCATATTTAAATTGGCGCCGGCGCCACCTGTCAGACCGTCGCTGTATTTTTGCACGATCCGGCTGTAACAATCGTGTATTTCCTGGCACACCCGGACACTGCGCTCCCGCTGGAGCCCACCGAGCATGGCGATCGCCAACGAAGCAATTGCAGTGTGGCCCAGCCTGAAGACTGCGAGAACAATGTTCTCGTTACACAAAAATCATGTTTTCTGCGCTTGCCCTTTGGAGGTCGGTCGTGGCCAGCATTGGATTCAATTGCGCAGGCGGGCCGATCCGAGCCGAGCCGGGCTGGGCCACACAGCGGCAGCTGTACTCCAGGCAGGCCAGACCAGGGCAACAATGAGCAATGGCATGATGGTGAGGGGAGGGACGCATTCATTCTACAAAATGCTCAGTTCAAGTTTCATTTGTTGATATTTGTGGCGTCTATTCAGTGACTGCAAATCCGACTCAAACCACAACGACCCCGATCGTCGCAGAAGTATTGTTGTTCCCGTTGTTGTTGTTGTTGTTGTTGTTGTCTGGCTGACCAGTCTAGTGTCCTCCATTGAGCAACTGCTGAAATCAGCAGACGAAGATGTAGAAAAGTGGCTAATGCGCCGACACCCCGCTGCGACGGTGTGCGTGAGGGCAGAATCGTCTTTAATTGAGTTATACGAATGACCCTTGGATGTTGTTGTTAGTACCTGGTCTTGGTCCTGGTCCCCGATACTGTCGGAGGGTTGCCAGCGGCTTAATGTAGCATGTTTTGACATAAATAAATGCCTGAATACTTTTAAGTGATCGTATTCTGTTTGACTCTCCTATGCCCAAAACAGTTTGGCATGATTTATGTGATGCTCCATTTGGCAACTGCCACAATATATAGATCTCTGCGCATGGCAGATGAGGATGTGACCGATATTACCCACATCCAGGCAGCACAGAAATAACAATACTCTATTAATTCCGTTAGACAATTAACGAACAGGGTGGGTTTGATTTAACAGTCTATGCCAATTGCTGACCCCTTGTTCTGATTTCAACATTTCAAATAGCACTTGGTGTCTCTATACAAATATCTTAATTATTAGCAACATAAAGTTAGCTATGCTTATGGAAATAAAATGCTTAACGAATAGTAAGATATATTTGAAAATATAAAATTATTATAAAGATCGCAGTGCCTATGTTTGGTAATCTTTTAAAAACTTCATGAGACATAGTTAGATATGTTCGATAATAGGAATACCCTTTAAAGATCCTTGCAGCAGCTCCTTGTTTCTATGTATACTGATACTCAATTATAGACCGATTCTTCAGATTGCATATGATAAATAACTTATGGATCATACTTTTTGAGTTAGGCTTACTTATGTAAGAAATACAAATTTAGACAGGGTATCATACATACTTGACTGATACTTCATATCATATATCTATGATATATCTTTATAACTTTTTTGGAATAAATTTAATTAGGCGCTGCAAAACTTTAAGGTTAGTCTCATTTTTCCAGCTAGATTTTCATCGTTGTTCGACCCAATTGGACCAATTTAAAAGTATACTACAATTTTTGAATTGATCAAAATGTTGCATACTTTTAGGCTCTTCGACATATTTAATTTGGGTGCTTTACTTAAATATTGCTACTCATTATTGTGTATATGTTTTTATTTTATATAGACCAACAACTTTAGATAGATTAAAACTGTTAAGATGTTTTGGACTCTCGGACAGTACCGGCTGGGACAAACCCTTATTACAAGCAAATTTGTATTGCATAAGGGATGCATGTTCTCATTTAGGTTGGCAATCAACGGCAGAATGCCAAGATATCCAAATCTTAACATACATATTGAAGCTGAACTCATTTTGAATCCTTATCCTATCTGATGAGGATGATGATTTATACATTAGTTTTTCTTATAAAATTATGTGTTTTATTTCTTTATAAATTATTCCTTTTTACTACGAACTCACTTTGAAAAAAGTACCTTGAAATTCAATCCTTAACGATTACCAATTCCAAAATCAGGTTTGAGAGTATTTTTAAGCAGACAAGATTGCTTGGGCGGCTTCAGTTGGCTTCGCATTGCGTTTAACAGTGTTTTGGAGACACTTTCGTGTACCCTTTCCAAACTAAAAAAACGATGCATCTAAAACATAGGAAGATGCTAAATTACATACCAAATCTACTGTTAAAATTGATATTATAAAATGGATAGAAATTTTGACATCTAAGTAAATTGTAATATAGTTCCTACATTAATCCTAAGCGTAGTCAGAACCATGAAACGATAATAATTTAAGGGAAGTCATAATTTCATCTTATATAAATAAAATTATACTGGATTTTCGCATAGTATTTGAGAATCTACATTCCGAATTGTTTTTTATCGAAGCATTCATCAAGACTGATAAAAGGGCGGATCAACGTGTTAATGTTTCGTATATTGATTATTTCGGAAGAAGATGTGAATGTGGATTGCACGACACTTTATACCCTGTTATTTTTACTCATTTGTACTGGGTATAATATTAAATATATCTCATATATATATCCAAATTAAATGACCTTCACAATCGTTCAGCATCTATAACTTTTCTAGCTTATTGCAATTATTTTTCTTGTTATGGTTCGTGATTTATCCTCTGAATTGCATTTATATTTAAAGAAGTATTAATAAATTCGTTTTTTTTTTTTAAATATGCATCAAATTTCATAGAAGACATCAAGTTTTAAATCGTTTTTGATTTTTAGGGCTGACTGAAAACTATTTATATTGGATTCTTTCAATATATGATAAATAGTTATATCTTATAAACAGAAGAAAGACTGTTTTACTTATTATTTAAGTTATTCTTTCATTTTCATCGAGCATATTGATTCATACTTGACTTGGGTTTTTTTGTGTATTACTAAACTTAATTACGCTTTTTTTTTATTCTTATTAACAATTACTTACACATAATATTTTATTCTCGTTATCTTTAATAGACTAGTTGTACATAAGCCTCTATGAAAATAATACTACTATTATTTCGAAATATATTAAATAAAAGCCATTATTTTTTTTAAGGTTTCTAATAACCCATTTAAATGTATCTGGTTTATGATTAGGAGTTGCCGATTTTTGGTAGTTCTGGTTTCTCAAGATCTTTCCAGTAAAATCTGAAAATGGAAAACAGAAAAGTTAGTCAAGCTGCGCAATATATGATTAATTAAATATTTTTTATGCAAACCAGCTGAGAACGGCCAAAAGTAGGTCAAGCAAGGTAAGGAGCTGAAAATAAAGTAAGAGAAATTATAAATAAGTCTTTTGTATTACTGTAAAGGCATCTAAATATCTTAACACGATGTCAGATAAAGCTTAAATTGGATACAGTATTGGATACCCGACAGTATAGTTATTTGGGACTGTCTGGCAATTTAAAAATGTAGGATTGGTAACTATTTCCAACACTTATAACATTGACAATCGAAATATAAAGTATAAGCTCGCTTTATCCTGTATACCTCAGTACACTTTATGCTTTTATATCTCATGAGTTGCAGTTCATAATAAAATTATGATACCCTCTGCAAGAGCATAAACGGGGTGTGTTTGAAGTTCAGCCAAGTGTGCAGCATGCGGCAGACTGTTTGTCTGGTATGTTACCTATACGAACACATTGGCTGGACTGGGCCCATGGAATGCTGAATGAATGAATCAAATGTGTGTTCCGTAAATTTACGTTTGTCTTAAGGTCAGAATTAAAACCACATCGTCATTTGTGCCTCGCCAGATCTGAGACATCAATAAGATTAGCCACAAGATAAGAAGTTTCCGGTCAAACCAAAATAAATGAAAGAATATCTTGACTACACTGATGGCAGGCAATAAAAGTTCCACCGTTTAGTTAAAAACTTAACAAATGTATGTGTACCAAGCTGTGGAAAGCATCTCAGATTCCCTTAAGTATATATATATGAAAACTTAAGTCGATCTAGCCATATCCGTCTTTCTGAAGGCGTTGATCTTGGAAAGTTAAAAAGCTAGAATCTTGAATTTTGAGATGTATATTCTCGTATATTAAGCGCAGAACGTGATTATAATTTCTGATAGATCTATAGACCCATTCTCATAATATCGATAAATACAGATTGTAAGACATGGTTTTTTAAGCATATCTCGAGGATTATAAGAGCTACAAACATCAAACTTGGTATGCAGGCTCTCGTATAATTTACTTTTATTAAGAATATTTTACTTTTTGTTTATCTCCCCCCATTCCCGGGTTCTTCCAACTAGAGCACTCTTCAGTACCTTCTGCTGTCAACTATATTGGCCATGTCTGTGCTTTGCGGCAAGAGACTAAAGGCAAACACTAAAAGAGCTCGTAAATGAGGCTCCCAATACATATGCGATGTTGGACGACGAAGACGACGTCGACGACGATGATGACAGTAGAAACCAAATAAACACGTCGACTGCCATCCCCGTTACCCACACTTCAAAAAACCGGCTAATTAATGACGTTTCCCTGTTTGGTTCCCGGGCCCCGATCTGTTCGGGCCTAAGGTCGCAGACTCAGTGAGTCCCCCCAGCCTGTTAGCCGGAGCGGTGCCATTTTTGTATTTTTGTATTTTATTTTTATTTTATTTTCATTTTTTTGTTTTTTTGGACTTTGGTGACGGTGTCGTAAGTGAAGTGCCAATAAACACGTGATTTACTTCGGCTCTGGCCACGGTCAAAGAGCCGAGCGGTACGGCAACGCCGCACTTAGTCGATTGTGTGTGTGTGTGTGCGTATGTGTGACAGCCAAAATCATGAGGCTTATCGCTTCCATCGGCCATCAAGATTCCGCTCATTAATTTTGAAATTAGGCGGGTTTTCAAGAAGAGCAAAGAATTGATGTCCAGCTAAAGCCCGAATAAACTGGCCGCCGTTGTCCGCGCTGCATTTCCCTGCGACCAAGCCAGTGAGTGCATAAATTAATTAAGTCGGTCGGAATGTGGACGTGTATGTGCGGTGCCGACCTTTTGTCTGGCACTGTAGCACTATAGCCGAGGCAGCGACCGTCCGACTGTCCGCCCAGTTCGTCGTCTGCCGCGCAATGGCGGCTGTTGCGCAGACAGCGACTCGTATGGGCTGGGCGCATATTCAGATTCAGATACAGATTCAGATGCATGTGCTGGTGCTGGTGCTGATGCTGGTGCTGGTGCCCAACTGGCTCGTAGGATGTTGTAAATTAAAAGCCGCGGCTGGTCCTTTGTGCCGTGCAGGCTGAGTCATTTGCATTTTGCCTACTGCCTGGCCTGATTATGAAAGATGCTGCGCTGCGTGGGTGATAAATGACCATGCCAGAAGGGGCTGTGGCTGGAGCACAACCCCCCCAGTTCCCCACAACACCCGCCCTTTGCTCCACTAGATGATTGTTGCATTTTGGAAAATGTTAAAATTTTCAACCCCAGCAGAGCTGCCAGCTCGTTAACCCCTTGCTGAGACGTCGCTGGGAGATTAGCTGATGGCCTTCCAAATTTATTTATCTTCAACCCTCTCTAGCTGCCTCAACTTCTCTATTCCCCCCCTTTCTCTCTCTCCGTCTGTGTTGCTCTGTGGCAATTGCAACGAGCACTGACAAGGGTTGTGAACTCGGAACCCACAACCCAAACGCCGGGCCTCAACGCCAATCTAATAGATTCCGATTGAGATTTAATTATTTCACTTAATTTTCCAACTGACTTCATGCGGCTGACTTTTAGCTTAACTTTCATGTCCACGTCCTTTAACCAGTTAATGAAGCGAATAAATTTCTTGGCAATTATTTTGCGGATTGTTTTAATTGACCTCAAGATGCCCAGCGCCTCGGGGTCTGCCGGTCCGCCGGTCCGTCCAAGAATGTGCAAGCAGACAAATGGAAGACGGCCAAAGGCGATGGCGATAACTAATTAGCAGTAGATTAAATCATTATGCTGCCAAAGAGGAATTGATTGTGGCTAAAGGATGCCAATCTGTGTGGCCTAAAAGCTAAACACCATACTAAACTGTATTCACTTCTTGTGGTAAGTCAATCATTATTTGTGTATTTTTAATAGATCAAAGTTTCTCGATGCAGTGCAGATTTCTTTATACCCTCGGAAATGGAGTATTATAATGTTATTGCCTAATATGTAACGCTTAAAAGGAGAATTTATTTAAAAAATACATTTTTCGTCCTGCAAATCAAGAATTTAAATATTTTGTGATTTTATTTCTATATTCAATTATATTTTTCAAAGCTAGAAATGAATTACCTTTGGTTTAGCTGAAAAGCTCGAGCTTTGGATGATTATTATTTAGGTTTTGTTTATTTTTCAAAAGACGAAAATACTTTTTAACTTATTAAGTTTCCCTCTTCTAATAATGAGAAAATACTTTTTTGAAATGAATCCAGAAAGTAATTCAATCATCCGCACGCCGAAGATTTAGTACCCTAGACATTTCTCCTTTTCAGAGATATCTGAAAACAGAACAGAAAGCTACTTTTCGACCGATCTTTTCTAATGCAGCTATGTGATATAGTGGCCCGATGCTGTTAAGATTGCATATGTGCATATATATGAGGGTCAAACAGCCTAAATCCCGACTGGGGTCAAGTAATCTTTATAAAAAAAGGGTTTTCATACCAGAACCTAATTTTCGACTGATCTCTCCCACGGCGGACAGGCGGATATAACTATATGAACTCGGCTGCTGATACTGATCTAAGAATATATATACTGTATGAAGCGAAAATACATCCTTCCTTGCGTTACACATATTATGACAAAATTATAATACCCTACACAAGCGTATATAAATTAATAGAAATGATCAGTTTCAAATTTTGATGTATTTTATGACAAGATATCTTGACAAAAACTCAGCAATTTGAGCTTTACTACTCTTCTGATATTTTCCCAAGTTCATGTCAAATCGGTCGACCAAATACCTTATATGGCTGTTATTGTAATATTCCGATTGTAAATAAAGCTATTGTTTAAACGCATTTCCAAGCCATATCTCTTGAAGTGTATTTAACATTCGGTGTGATGTAAACTAAAGCTTACCTATGTATATGCATATGCAGATGTATGTAACAGTCGTGACACCCTGCAACTGAGCCATGGCATTGTCCTGCCACTGTGTCGAGCTGCCAACTTGAGGCCGGACGCTTTGTTTATGATGAGTGATTGTTATGAGTTGTCAAAAAGGCATGCGGACCCAACGATGTGTGATGCGAGTGTGTGTGTGTGTGTGTGTGTATCTGGTGTCTGTTGAGCAGGAAATCCACCAGGATTTGTTAAAATATGCCGCCAACATATGCAAATATGTTTGTCTACACAAACGAAAGCAGAGGCTGCACTCAAGTCCGCACTCGCACCCGCCCGAATGGGTAAGTAGACGAGGTAGACGAGCGCCACGTGACGCCAATGTTTCCACCCTCACGTAAGTGGAAACCTATCAAAGTAAGCCGCTGTCGCCGCCGCCCCTTGGTGACAATCAACCCTGGCTGGATGCTTCAGAGTTTGCTTTAATGTTTTGACAGTAAAATAAACATATCCAAGTACGACTCTTGCCAAATGAGTGCGGGTGTGCTTATGTGTGCGTGTGTGTGGGAGGGGTGTGTGTCATAGTTGGACAAGCAGCAGAGGCTCAAGTGTGAGCGAAAAGCACATAGATGTCAAATATAATTCATCATCTATAGAGCATCAAAGTCTGACAGTTTGCTGGCAATGTAATTCCCTGACGTTGACCCTGGTCTCTAGCCAGGCCAAGGCCAATCGAGCCGCTGGCATCAGCAAAACAATAAGTCGACATCATTATCAGTCCGACTTGCAACATCGAGTACAAGTGCGAGTGCCCCACCCTCCGGCAGGGGTTGGATGTCACCGGCAGCAGCTGAGCTCAATAGCTGTGATTTATCCGGACGAACTTGGACTTGTTTTTGTTTTGTATTTTGTATTGCTCGACTTTATTGCCAAACACCTGGTAGGTGTCAGTGCATAGTCTTCTTTTATTTAATGGCCCAACAGGTAGAACTTTGCCGAGCTCTGTCAATTATTTTTTGCCTGACGACAGTTTCTGTGGTGGACACAAAAACACTTTAGTCGAGCAAGTAGCGTTGGAAATCCTTTTAAATAATTAATGTCAATTAGAGATAAAGTTAATTTTGGCCCATCCGTCTGATGATTGTGTGCAAAGGTTTCGCTACCTTCGCCTGCTGCTATTCCCATGGCCAACGGCAGGTAACTTCAAGGCATGGGGCGGGCCAAGGCTGTTGGCATCTGTCATAAATATTTTATAACATCAATTACAAAGCACTTAACTTTCATGAATTTAATACGAAAGATGCCACTGCCACTGCCGCTGCTCCGGCACATCCATCTCTCCCGACGCCGATGCCTCATTTATCTCTCATATGCCAAACAATCAGCACTCGACAGGAAGAGCAATCATTTTTTTTTCGCCTGCCTGGGACAAGTGTAAGCCGCCGAAAACACGTATGTGTGTGTGTGTGTAAGCCTCGAGCATAAGTCCATCAGGATCAGCCGGGGGCAATCTAAAGTGACTCTCGATATAAAAGTAGTCGAAACGCCAAGCAACCCCGACACTGTCCGGCAGAGTCCGCAGTCCGGCCAATGTCTTTTGCTGCCATTGTCCTTGCTCGATACGGCCGGGTATTGAAAGTGCGGCGGTGATTTACTTCCCTCAGTTTCTGATTCGGATGCTGATTCCGACTCAGTTTCGGCAGCAAAACAAAATCCCCAAAAAAATAAAATAAAATAAAATTAAAATCTCATCAAGGGGCACAAGTGCCCGGACCCGGACCCGGCTCCAGAGCTTTGCACACGTTCATGTTGATAAAAACAATATCAATATAAAAAGGCATTTATACTTATATATATATATAGATATTTGTATGTATGTATTTATGCCCAAGGCTAGCCGACTTGGACTTTGCCTGCTGCCTCTGCCTCTGCCTCCGCCTCTGCCAGCTGAGGGCTCACGGAGCACTCAGTACGCTTTGGACTTGGGCGCGTGCCGTCGCGCCAAGCCACAATCCCCCCATTGATATTCATAGCCGATTTTCGCGTCGCACAAGGCAAACACGGCGGCATGTTGGGCATGTTCCCATACATAAATAAATCAAATTTATGGCGACTAGATTCGATGTGTCAACATCTTTTCGATTGTGCTCGAACTGCACTACTGGGATTTCGGATTAAAGATGTCAGATAAACGTTGCCTCTGCTTCAATCAGGTCTGACTCTTTTTCTTCTTCAGTCAACTAAGGCAAACACATATCTAATCTGACAGTGTAAATTGTTCGGCTGCAATACGCTGTGCACTGTTGAATAAAAGCGAAGAACAGGTGGAAACAGTTGAGCGTGCTCTTTAGTTGAGAGAACCTTAAGGCTGCAAGCCGGTTCAAACTTGAAAACTAATACAAATGGAGAATGGTATAGATTTTCTGAACCTAATTCATTCTGGGCGGGCACTAGGAGGACCTACGCTCAAAATTCATGTCTCTAGCTTTTATTCAGAGATCGGCGCTTTGTCTTACCTTCTAAAATTTGAAGTAAGATAGAAAAAATAAATGAAAAATATGTCATATATTATGTAAAGTAGCTTTAAAACTATTTGACAGCCCGAAAAATAAATAATTAGCTTTCAGTCATATATCTCTAAGAGTCGAATCCGAGCCTATGGCAGGTGAAGGGTGCGGGGTGAGTAAATGAACCTCTGCCAGGTTTCATGTGTTCATTTAAATGCCGCATTGTGTTTCTAAAATGTCCCAAGAGATTTTTTGAGGCGTTAAAGCGTGCCACCCCTTGTTTTGGACCAACAAAATGCAGTGGTTTCCGGTTCGGCAACGCCCCGGCAAGGCGGGCCACATTCCGGCTAGTGGGAGTTAATTCGGTAAAGTCAGTAACCTCATCAAAGAAGCGCTGGCCGTCTGCTATGCCAGAGCCTGAGGAGGGTTTGCCGTCTAGCACTAGCTGGCGCATTAGATTTACGCCAAACGACGTGAGGCGCATATGTTTATGAGTCTCGTTGAGATTGAGCACTCACAGTGCCGGGCAGACAGCAGGGGCATGCCCCATGGTTAACCAAAAACGAAAGCAGGACGCGTTGCGCATAAAAGCCTCATGCCGCTGGCCATTGCCGTTCGCCGTTCTCCGTTCTCCGTTCGCCGTTCGCCGCACGCTGCCTGCTAATGGATTTCAGAGTTACCGCTGAAGCCGTAGCCACAGTCGCTGGAGCAGCCTCTCTGTCAGTTGAAGGGTTGCCGAACGCTTTGGTCGCCCGCCCCGGCAGCCTGCCACTTCCACTTCCTTCAACAAACGCCCTTCTGTTATTGTTGTTGCTGCTCCGGCTCCTGCTCCTGCTGCTGTGACTTACGCACCGTGAATGAATGCGTTGTTAGCAAGAGCTGGCCCAAGCCCAAGCCGAGCACTGCCTGAGGGGCGGCCCGCAGTCGGTCGCATTGTTGCTGCTGGCGTTTTTTTTTTTGGCGCACGCGACTTTCACACTAACGTAATAAAGAGCTCAACGACACTCAAATTGAATACGTCTCATGGTGCGAATGGCGTAATGATTTTCTATGTGGAACTCGATGCAGATAATGGTGCGATACCCCGTGGAAGTGCTGCTAATTTAGCTATTTTTAAAGCTACATTTGGCTATTTTTCAGAGGTAATCATCAAGCTGCCCTTGAAATTTGCATGTGTCAGCAACACAGAATATTTTTAAATTAAGTCAGTTTCTTTTCAGCTATTTTAAAGCTAAATTTGACTATTTTCAACGGTCATTGATAGACAACTCTTTGAATTCGCTCTTTGTTTCAGACAGTTGGCTAATCTTTAGCTTGTTTCCGAGCTTGATTCGGCTATTATCGGAGGTCCCCAGGTGGCAGCTCTTCAAATTTGTATGTCCCTGAAATTCTGGATATTTATAGACAGAGTTAACTCTAACAATTTTTGTTAAGTTGTTTCTAGCCTTATTTGGCTATAGTCAGACAGAATAAGGGAAGCTTGAAAGCAGCCGTCAAGCATTACATTGAAAATTATTATTAACACAAAGCTATTGGGCTGACGAGCCCACATATAAACTTAATGAAACTCTTGAAACTCTTCCACAAAGAGCAAGTGCAGCTTGCTAGCTACTACAAGGAAAACTGCACAAAAGGTGGCAATTGCCTCTTTTGGGTTGCCACTAAATAGTATGAAGCACCTGCTAAAATTGAATTTAGCCAATTTTAGCTATTAATTACATCGCAGCACTGATGCCCAGATCCACAGCCACAGCCACTGCCACAGCCGGAGACCAAGACCCATTCCCGCATCTGCAGCCACCCCTCGTGGTGGCTGCTGTTGCTGCTGCTGCTTGGGCGGTTTTGTTTTTGTTTGCGTGGTGATAGAAATTAACCCCTCAATTGAGGTTGAATTTAATTTGGCGCAAAATGGCAAAGAGGGTGTGCGTATGCGTGTGCCCTGCCCTGCCCGGCCCGGCCCGGCTCGGTCTGGCTGCTGTTCATTTGGCTGCTGGAGTTTGTACAGTTGAAAATGATATCGCTGTTAACGCTAAAGGGCCATTGTCAAATTGTCTCTTATTAATTATGATGATGCGTGTGCCGGCGCTATCGAATGAAGGGTTTCGGGGGAGGATGGCTGCAGTGCATGCAAATTTGCCTGAATTTGGCGTCTTTAACGTAATTTATTGCACACGCCGCCTGCCGGGCTTAGAGTGAAAAGTTAATACCGTAAGAGACTGCCTATATGAGAAATTTAAATCCTCTACTCAACCCAATTCAACCCAACCACACACACACACACACGCACACGCAACGGAGTTGAGTCTTGAGGTTCAATTGATTTGCACAGCCAACTATGCAAAAGGTACTCATACAAAATTCGCTTAATTTACATCAGACAATAGCGGCAAAACGAACAATAGCACACAGAGCACAGGATTGAAGGAGTCAAGGCTTCGGTTGGCATCCCGAATTCAACTTTAAACCGAGTAGCTGACCTGCAACCCGCTTAAATCATTTGGTATTAACCTGCAGCCCATTGTCTACTGGAAAATTGAGCATTATTATAAATTAACTTAATCGAGCGAAACTCGTTGAAGGCTGCCTATTTAATCATAGTAATTCATTATGAAAGGGATAGTCTCTCGTTAAGATAAGCTGGTTAAATGTACCCAAGTGAATGGTTATAGCATATTGCCAGCATTTCTTGCAAATTGAAATTGTAAACAATTCGATTTTGAATAAGAAATTAAGTTATGTTTTCGTAAAAGAATAGTTTTTAAAATAGGTTAACATAAATGTATTTTTTTTTTTATATATTTAAAGGTATGTGTATGTACTTACCCAGAAGTTCACATGACACGCAGGACTATTTTACTGCTCATCAATTAATAGAAATGGGAATGAGTTTAATATATCCACAAAACTGAAAAAATAAGTAAAGAATAAGTTAGACTAAGAGGCGGAGAAAGAGAGACAAAATGAGAGAGAGAGAGAGGTAGGTGAAAGATATTTCGCATGAGAGTTAAAAAGAGTGAGTCTATGAAAGTTAAGTAAACTTGTCAAGTTATGTTAACCAATCTTAGTGGTAAAAGAGAACACATTCACTTACGTACACACCCAACTATGTCTATATGGGACTTTGGAGGATACCATATTTATATGTATTTTGAACAGAACAATGTTGTCATGGATAAAGGCCCTAAACTCGGATGAGATTTGACTGAGTTGTGGTGGTGGGAAATTTCGACCTATGTCTATATAGGTTATTTGAGGGTACCATTTTCACATGAATTTTGATTCAAAATAATGTCAGATGTAGATGTCAAATTGCTTAGGAGACCAAACCATGAAGAGAGAGCCAAACCTCGTGAAATTGTATATGTTTAACAATGCGACAGATCGGATAGTAATCAAATATTTACTTGGTGCGTAAAATGTGTCTAAAGACTTTATAAATTTAAGAAAATCTTATTAAGGGAATTTAAATAAAGATAAACCAACTACTGTCAAAAACTCAGCTACCTAGCATTCAGTCAATCAGTCAGTCGTGACAAACAGCTTTATGTATAAAGATAATTTTAATTTCTTGCGTTCTTTCCATTTAACATAATTGGATGAAACTTAAGGTATTGCATTGTTAATTGCATCCGAGTTTCCACTTGAACAAACGCTGACCAATAGAAGCCGTAACTAATGAACCGCAACGACAAGATCAATGGGCCGGCCAGTGGACTCCTCTCGGAGGGGGGGAATTACCCGAGTTGGGCATTGGAGCCGAGAGTGCCACAATTTGCGAAATCGCAGCATGGCAACTAGCGCCAGGCTGCCTTGGAGGCAGCTCCTTGGCGCGTCTGCGAGTGGGTTTCCATTCGTTTGCGATATTTCATTTCTTTATTAAGTCAATGTCATATTTTGCGACTGTGGGCGCCGGTGTCCTGCTTGGATGCAGAGCACAGCGCTTGCACTGAATGAGTCTGGGCGGGTATATGGTATATGTGGCCAGTGGATGCTGTGGTGCACAGCTGGAGCTTGTTACTTTGATGTATTTGAGACGGTTTGTGGCGCGCGCGTTTATTTGTGGACGCGTCTGTTGCAGCAGCGGGACACCATTTGATGTGTGATCCGAGCGGCACATTTGGGCATTCCGGCAACCAGTTGTGTGCGCTCATAAATAAATAACGCCAGGCTGTTTACACATCCGAGAGTGAAGCACTCTCTAAGCCTAGACAAACTAATAATTGAGTTTCGATTACCTCTATTAACTCACACAGAGCTAGGCGCACAAACAAAAAGCAAAGCCGAAACATTTGTCAAACGCTTGTCAAAGGCTGAAAAGCTTGTGGCATTTCAATGTGACAATGCGCGGGGGTTCGAACCCCACATTTCAATGTGACAATGCACGGGCTCGAATCCCACATAGTCATAGGCGCGCTGGAAGGGGGCGGGGGGGCCAGTAACGTAACCGCCCATTAGCCACATGCGCGCCTGCGTGACACATTGGCATCAATCAAAGTTTCACCCGTTTAGTGTGTGCGAGTGTGTGTGTGTGTGTGCTGGGAGTGTGTGAGCTGGGCTTGGGCGCTTTTGTATTTCATTTTTTGTTGTTGTGTTGTGCGCCGCCTGCGTCGCAAGCGCGTAAAAAGACATTTTGACAAATTCAAGTAGCGCCATCTACGCTCGCCTTTAATAGCTTTTATACTGCCTGTCACGATATTTCATCAGTCAAACGACCACGACCACGACCCGCACTACGATTGCGACCACGACCACGACCAGCGTCAACAGCGCCGGGCACAAATATACTGACACACATGGCAGTCAAGGCCGGAAAATGTTTTGGGTCGCGGGCAATACAGTAGCGCGAATTTTATTTGATGTTATTTCCATTTGAAAATGAGTTATTGGCGCTGCTAACAACCCCTAAAATCACCCCCTATCGCACAAGCGCTGCCACTGAGCCCCTGTCAGCTCAGACAGCAGCCAGGCTTGCCTATAAACACGCAGGCCAAAGTGCGAGCGAGAGGGAGGTAGGGAGGGAGGCAGAGAGAGAGTCACAGTGGCGCGTGGGCGCGGCTGTGCACAGAAAGCGCATAAATTTTGGGGTTCCAAGCAGTGCTCCCCTTTGTTCTCGCAGCGCCCCAACCCCTCCTGTTATAACACACATGCGTTCCATTCGAATTGCGATTTCCTTTCATTCGTTTCTCCGATTTGATTTATTTTATTTGTTTTGTATGACACCCGCAAGTGTTTCCCTCGAGCGATATATTAATTTTGTAGGCGTAGCTGGCAGCCAGAAGCGTTTAGGCTGTATGGAGATAATATTTATATTCCCACCTCACGGACAACGGGGAGTGGTTAATCAAATGCTCGTAATATCACACAAGTATGGCTAAATTACGGCTTCTTTTTTTTGTTGTTGTTGCTGGCCACCACAAGTGGCCATTAAGTGTGTGTTAACTGCTGGATTTGATATAATCACTGCGATTAGCAGCTTACTTTTACCACACAAAATTGATAAGATATAGATGAAGTTAATCTGTACACTCGGTTAAGCTTAAGACAAGTGTTTTATGCACCTGAAAAGCAACATTCTAATCACTCCAGTAAAACTTGTTAATGGTAAAGACTTTCATTTGGGATATGGATTTATCATGTGCTTATCTTTATCATATGAAAGTCTTCAATATGTATTGAATACATTATATACACTTCTCTTATATGCACATACCTAGCCTCGCATGCATATTCGCATGCCGGAAGCATATAGGCCCATGGGCGTAAAGTTCCCAATTGGATGACTGATTGATGACGTGAATGAACGCAAAAGGTGTGATGAAGCAAATGCGTGCGAGTCTGTGGCACATTAGATATTCATGCGAATATTTGAATTGAGCAGCCACACAGTGCATGGTGGGTGGTGGGTGGTTGGGGGTGGCTTTGGGTGGTTTGGGTTGGCAATGCCTCGGGGCCGCCCACTCGCTGTTGCGTCTGATAAATCACATATTTTCGCTGATCAAATCAATCTAATTGACATCACTCAAAATGTTGGCAGAAAAGTTTTCACATTCGTTTTCGCAGCAACAACAAAAAATGCGAATAAATGAGTTCAAAATGGGACTACGCCCACGTCCACGCCCTGTGCCACAGGCGCCTTTTTGGCTTAATGGTGGCTATGCTAGGTTGCGAGCTGAGGCGGTGCGTTCCCGGCCACCAGCCAACAGTCAGCAGCCACCAGCCACCAGCCGCCATTACGGCAGGACGCCGGAACGCCAGTACGCAACGTGATTTATTTTCATTTGGATGCCACCGCCATCCAAATTCGACGCTCCGTCATCCTGACATTCGAATTGAAATGCAAATTCTGACGAATGTGCGCACATTGTGCGCCTAGGGTCGGTACGCTGCAGTAGGAGTTGGAAGAGGAGTAGGAGGTGAAGCAGGAGGATATCGGCGAAGCGTCACCTCGACCGACTGACGGCGGCGACAATCAACGACTCTCGATGGTAAATGAGCCATCTACCCATACGCTTTACAATCCGAAATACACACATGTGCAGACGCCCCAAATCGCATATATATCCAATCCATTTACATATGTGTACATACCTATATGTTTATATACACGTGTAAATAAGTATGTGTACATAAGAGAATATTTACTTTAACCCTTTGATGCTATGCCATCACATTTATTTATGCTACTTATTTTTATGCCCTTTTCTTTTATATATGATATGTTTTTTTATAAAGAAATAATTAATAATGAATAGTATGTGTTGTTTTCATTGCCATAAACAGCTCAGGCAAGCTAGCTAGGGTCTCTTGTCAAACTACTTTTTAGACCCTTCCAAAGGGTTTTCTAATTTCATCGGGAAATGTGTAAGGCATAAAGGAACACGTCTCAAATCCCATAAAGTATATATGTGTGTATTCTATATATATGTAGTAAAGGCAGTATATATGTCGGAACCGGACAAATCGGACCACTATAGCAATAAAGCTACCATAGGCATGTTCGATCAAAAGTTTAGTTAATGTATATGTAAACGTTTCTGCGTTCCATCCTGTCGAAACTATCCGCAAAACCCTATTAAATCGAAATGCTATATTTCATTTTAGCACTAATGTACTTCTAAGCAACATGTATACAAAGGGATTTCTTACTTAAATTAAGCTTTTCTCTTAAGCTAAACTATCCGTTAAAGAATTATATATATCCATTTAAATATAAACTAAGTATAAATTTTCAACACTTAAAGATAGAATTAGATATATACACATATCGCGATTAAGTTTACAGTATGCTACTTAAAAAAGAGATAGAAGAGACATAACGACGTAGACATACCCTATACATGCTTATGTAGAAAAAGCTAATATGTTAAGAGATTGTTTCTTAGTTAAGGATGCTTAATCTATCAGCCTAGCTGACTTAATTAATATAGCCTAATTTATATTTTAAATAAAAGATGGATGCAATATTAACTTTATAGGGTAATAAATATTTGAAAAGCGAAATTGGTAGCTTAGATTTAATTAACAATTTTAAGATACTGTTTAAACTTTTTACTTACATGCCATTGAAATCGAGTGGAAATTGTTAAGCGGCTGCTTTCTTCATATTGTTAAACAACAGATTTATAGGGTGCTTCCATTGTCTGTGTGTTGATGGGTGTGAGGTTGGGGAATAAATACCTATGTACATGCATAAGTATGTGCATGTGTACATGCACACAGTAATCACATTTGCTGAAGTGTGTCCATTCGAAGCCTTGTGGCTGGCCATTCTCTTAAGAGCAAAAGGCCCGTGAACTGCTTTTTCAGCCGGGACATCGTAGTTAAACATGCACATATATGCATATGTATGTATGTATACGTGTGTATGTACAAAGTACAAACATATTTATGTGTACATGTGGGGTCAACTTGTATGTAAATGCTGCTTATAGACAGCATTAACAAGTTCACTTCATGCGCACGTCTGTCTGCCTGTCTCTGTTTGTGTGTATGTGTACGTGTGTATGTTTGTGTGTGTGTGTGTGTGTGTGTGTGTGTGTGTGTGTGTGTGTGCACATTCCTTTATTGTACATAAAATGGTGGACGATAGACGTCTCTCTCCTGGCAGCGCTGCGGCCAGACTGTCGTGTGTCGCGTTCACGACACTCAGCTGCCATGTTCCCGGTTTTCGGTCCTCTCCAATGTGCGGCAAACGCTTCCAGCTATACACGGTAACAACTGTATCCCTTTTGAGCATGTCGTGCCCACCCAACCCCACAGCCCATTCCATTCCGCAAAGTGAAGTGGAAGTCGACGACATTCGTTCATTTGGGGTCCTCTGCATGCCCGGTAGGAAATGTGCGTTGACTCCTGCAGTCAGCCTAAAAGTAGACTAGAATATTTGAAATTTGTTAATTGAATTGAAAATTGAAATACTTCAAGTAAAAAAGAAAAGTGCAATAATTTAAAAAGAATTGCTTTAAATTGTATATAATATTTATAATAGTTAATTTTTGCTTAAACTTAAAATTTAACGATTTTTTCAGGGCGCATTTCTGTCAACAGGGTTGTTTCGTTTTGAGCTTTTTTGTTGGTCTTTAGTCTGTACTCACACATGCCACACACATACACACACACACACACACACTTATACATACTCACACAGTATACATTCCGCAGGATAGGCGTTGTTGCTGCCTTCCTTGGTGAATTACTGTCGGTCTCGGCGGTCCAGTCGCTTGGTGCAGGCAAAATAAGTTGTTCAAGTGGCAGCTTAATTCGCATAAAATGAAAACACGCTGTCTACATTGTTCCTACAACTTTTCCGAGTTTTTTATGGCACTTAAAATGGCTGCCTAGACAAAGGGTTGCCACCAAGCGCTTGCTGTAAAATCTATTGCAATTGCGCTTTGCCATTTACCACGCGTAGACTGAAATCGTGTTTTGCGGGTTACACAAAATAATTACAAACTATTCATTAACCATATAAGGGCTAAATGTTGTATATATACATCCTTATACTCTGTTATACAAGAGAAAACGAGTATATTGACTGTATGTTAGTCTTACAGAACGCAGAGAAAGAGATTGCAATTTATCCCTCAGGTAAACAGACAGTTGATCTCTCTAACAGATTGAGTCAAAATGATAAACTTTATTAACTACGATTACAACTTGAGAGTAACTGCCTTGGGGTTACATTCTTAGACTCCCCAATTACTTACTAGTTAAGATATGCCAAGATATAACTATTATTATTTCTTTAGAGTAGCCAGCCAACAAAATATTTACTTTCTTGCAATAATTGGCCTACGCAATGCATGATGCTCTTTGATATCCGACACCATATTTGTTAAGTTTTATCGCGTAAAGGTTTAGATTTCGTCAAAGTCGGAATTCCCTAGATGAACAGTAGAGTATTCTTGACTTGAAGCTCCTGCAATACCTGTCCTATGCAATGCATAACCCTTGATGAAACATTGGTCCAAATTCTGCCTACGTATTATGTATCCTTGCAAGGATAAGTGTCGGCACGAAAAATACCCAGCCTGTGCAGCGTGTTTTCAAGTGTAAATGTATAAATTTATGATAATTTGTGTGGGGCAATTAAACTTGAAATAATTGTATATGGCCGCAAACAAATGGAGAGCAGAAATTAAGATATTATAAAGGAATTTAATAATAATAACAGAAAAAGAAAACAATGTACTTGCATACTTGCGGTATTTTATAATAATGCTAATTGCGACTGAACTTCTGCAACGGGCGTGCCAAATGACTGACCAACTTAATGGCCTAAACGTAGCGGGTTCAGGGCCTTAAGCACGAAAGCCTGCCCCAATGCTGTAGAAATCGACGCCAAGCAGAAGAAGAAGCAGAAGAAGAAGCAGAATAAGAAACAACATTGAGGCAAGCGGCATTCATGGATTCATTTTTCTAATTGGAGACAATGACAAGACGCGAGCTTAAATCAAGTCAACTTAGTCTTATGGAATAATTAGCAACAAATTGTAATCAGTTTTACTTCAGCACTAACAAATGCCTTTGCTAATTAAACAATATGTTATGCCCAGCACAGAGAACAGCATACGTTTTTTATAAACTCGCTTTGCAATGCAGCTAGGTTAAACACATTCAGAATGGACTCTGCTTTAGCAAGCTTTGCTTTGCTTTAGATGCTTGAGGCTTTAGCAATTCTCAACAAGTTAAAGCCTTGACAAGGTGAGAAGACGTTTGAGTTGATAGAAAAGCATGCTGATGATAATTAAAACCTTGACAGAAAGTTCTGGTTTTAAAACTCTTCCATGCACCTTATAGTAATGTATCATTAGAACACTTGTAAGAGAAGCTCTTGGTCAAATAATATAAAAAATATGAAAAATGTATTTATTACTAAAATCTTCTGCCAATGTTTGCTGCCTGTTGCTATAAATTAACAGCTGTTATAAAATAAATAATTATATTGCATTTTAGCATAGAAAAGTGGAAGTATGAAAGTGGAATATTTGAATAATACAGTATAGGGGCCTGCCAAACAAATGTATGAAATTACAGTAAGTCATGTTTTCAGCGAGTAACAAGAGTGGCGAAATAGCAGGAAATATTTCCCCCATTAATAATGCCGCAGATTAAAGAAAGATTGCAATAAAAACAATATATGTATAAATATATATTTCTTTTCATAATTATTTGCACATTTAATAAGTCGGTAGACGAAATGTGCGTGTAGTCTAGTTGGTTGCAAAAATTAATTGAAGAATTTCACAGCAAATAACGCTACCCTGTCCAAAGCTGGCTACAAAGTAACCGAACACAATGTCAGCTAATCACGAAACGGAGTTGCATGTTGCCAATGTGCACTCGGCACTAACATATTCAGATATGCACATGAATATTCAATGAGTGCGTTTTTGCGAGAGAGCATACGAAAATCATTTTCAACATTCACTGGATTGAATAAGTGCAGAAAGTAAAAAACATATACTAAGTATATATGAATAAGCCGAGTGGCGAGGCATAGATTCCAAAATAAATGTGAGACCTACTATATCATTAATATATCAGCATTATTATCAATCGTCTAGTCTTAGATGGTCTATCTAAGAAAACTGGGTAGAAACTGTATAATAGAGTTCAGCTTGTTCATGTAACGGACTGAGCTGAGACAAGCTTCAAATAAATAGTTCCAAATTTCAGGCTACAAATTCACATGTTAAATGCAAGTCGCTTGCTGCTGCTCTTTAAACTATTGAATATGTTAATTAGGCTTTATTTTACTTTCAATATCAAATTATAAATAGTAATATATATTAAAAACAATTATGCTTAAAGACGCCGCAGTGAGCGTGTATTATAGAAGTAGGGCCAACGTTACGTTTCGTTGATTTCCTAGCATAAAAGCCACAAGATGTCGACAATGTACGCTATAAGAATTTAGCGGTTAAATTATGCATAAATGAATAATTAAATTTGTAATGGTGTAAATTGCGAATTGAATTGTTTCAGCCAACGACCGACCGACAATATCTCATAGCCACAAACACTTTGTACACTTTGTAGACTTCTTTATGAGACACCTTAGTTCCAAGCCGATTCCTGGCTTAACATTTTTATTTTTTATTATTTACACAACTCGGGCGCTAAGTAAATATATTTAACGTCTTTTTAACCCAAGTCAAAGTGTAAACAAAATTCTAATTTCGACTGTAGAGCATGAAATAACTATAAGATACCCTGTAGCCAGTTTGGCCACTTGATATACCCTCCAGCTCCATTCTAGTTTAATGAGAATATGACCGGAAAAGGGACTTAGTGATCGGCATGTGCTTAACACATATTTAGCTTTTAGTTTTATTACCAGCTGAATATAGATATTCATACAGAGCTATGCAAATAGGGGCAGGACATGAAGTCAACTGGTTTGAGAGGCCTTTCCGTGGCTGCCTCCAGTTACCCCCGGGCTCAACACCACGGTTGAGTGTATCAAGATGCAAGCATATTTCCGCTGAGTAGTCGCACGTCTACGGCTAAGTTGGCCTAATTAAAAATTCTTATATGGGGAAGGGGGGCAATTGCAAAATTGGTTTCTTATCTTTGTTTTATTATCGGCGCCACGAAACGCCTAAACATGATGCGCTGATGGATAGCTGCCGCTGCCACTGCCAAGGGGCCGAGGGGCCGAGGGGCGGGTGTTGCAACGTTTGACCGCATGCTCGCGGTGTGGCGCAAAGAGAGGATCTTGGTATATGTAAAAAGCTGCATTTATGAATAATATTAAATTTTGTGTGCATGATAATTTTCTGTACTCGACTTTGCGCTCCTTGCGATAGCCACTTTTGCCATACGCTGTGTTAATGCCTGCCAAAGCGACGAAGCCGTTTTGTGAACTATTTTCGTATTTTCTGTTTATGGCCCCAGTCACGCGATATATAGTATGTAGTACCCTGCGTGTGCTCTTTCATCGAGCTGAAAAAAATATTACTCTTACACTCGCTCCAAGTTCGCCTTTTAATGCAACACAAAATATTGCGAGGTGACATCTACCTAAATAGCTCATATGTTATATACATTTAAGTGGGTTCTATGGCTTTACCTAAATGAAGAATTGGCTTTTAATAAAAATACTGACACGATAGCAAGCTTTGTTTTTGTAAACTAGAAATATTCAAATGTACTTTTTCGTATACGTGATTCAGGTGGAACACCTCGTGTTAAGCTACCGTTTCCTTCTTTGATATAACAATTAGAGGCTTACTAGATTTAAGCAAGAATCTGTTGTTTATAAATATATCGATTTAAATATATACAAATGAAGTTGTTGTGTATACTACATATTTATAAAGTGCTTAGCGGCGTCTTTCTTTAATTTTAACAATTATTTTGTTGGCATTTTGTTTGTGGAAAATCCTATAGAGTGAAAATGTTGTTGTGGTTTTTGTTTGTCACGCCGAAGATAATATACCCTAATAGAAATTAATCTTAAAAATGTTTTAATGTGAAAGCCCTATTTCTGGCCTTATGTTTCTATAGCAGCCATATAAT